GGGGGTCAGTGGGGTACGGGGATCAGTGGGGAGCAAGGATTAACAGGAGTGGCAGTCAGTGGGGAACGAGGACAGTGGCAGAGAGGGGTTCGCTGCGGAGTCACTGGAGAGCAGGGATCAGTGAGGAACAGGCGTCAATGGGAGCGGGGATCGATGAGGAACGCGGGTCACTGGGGAATGAGCATCAGTGGAGRAGCAGGGATCAATGGCAAGTGGGGGTCACTGAGGGAGCAGGCTTTCCCTGTCCACAGGGCAGCCCTGTCACAGAATCATCAGCACTGGCACAGGATGCTCCATTGCTGGAAASATTCAAGGCCMGGTTGGACAGGGCTCTGAGCTCTGGTCTGGTTAAAGATGTCCCTTCTCATTTCAGGCAGTTGGATTGGACAAGGTGGCCTTTAAAGGTCCTTTCCAACCCCAACTAGTCTATAATTCTGTCCTTTCTAAAACTCACACAAGCCTTGYTGCTCTTTGCTGGACAYAYTCCAGGTCTTCAATGTCCTTTTTGAAGTGAGGGGCCCAAAATGGAATGTAGTACTCAGGCTGCCTCACCTCTTCTGARTACAGGGGTGGTGATCCCAGCCCCACCCGCCCTCAGGTGCCCTTCCCAGCCTCTTACCACCCTGCCCCCGAGTAGGGTGAGGCTGTTTTTGAAGCAAATGTTCCTGGTTTGGTCATTTATAAACGAGGTGAGGGCCCTAGAGAAGAAGGGAATCCACACCCTTAGAACCCTTGAAGCTGTGTCATGTGTGGTTCAGGATGGACATCAGGAGGMATTTCTACACAGAAATGATGATTAARTATTGTCATGGGATGCCCAGGGAGATGGTGGAGTCACCGTMCCTGARGTRTTCAAGAAAAACTGGATGTGGCTCTCAATGCCACRGTGYGGCTGACAGGGTRGGGATTGGTCACAGGTTGSACTCGATAACCTCAGAGGTCTTTTCCAACTGAATTAATTCTGTGAACTCACTGCAAGGGCTGACTTGTAACTCAGCTAAGCAGTATATACACCCCCCACCCCYAAAATAACCCAAATCCAAGAATATTAAATCCACCATCTGTCACCAAAACGCTCAACAAGCAAGCAGGAAAATAACCAAATTATCTGCCTTTGCATAAATGTGGGTTGTTGTAGCAATTACACAGGCCTTGCAGAAAATGGCTTATTTCCTTGCCAGAAAAATATTTATTTTGTGATCTTCTTCCTCTATGTCATTTATTTGAGCTGTGTCACTTAATCYCATTTCACATTTCTGCTTTTCAGCTACTACAATGTAAAAAGAGCTTTAGGCTGATATATTTATTACTGGATCTATTCATGAGAGATTTACGTGGGGGGAATGAAAAAGGGAGGCATATTAATTTACCTGAGGTGAAAGGCTTCTGCTCATGAAGGGTGGGGATGCTTTTGATGTGAGAWGATAAAAATTGACCAGCTGCTACAACAAGCATTATCTCCTCTGGATTAATGCACTTCTTCCACTGATGCTTGGCTGTTACCCTACATGAGRAAGAAAAACACATTAGCAATTCCAACATTTYGAACAACAATGAAGACAAATGTTATGTTAATAACAGAATTGCATTTATTTTTATCCAAGTTCCATTGATTTGAACATGAGAGGAGAGTGCTGTTCCTCACACAGCTGTCTTTGAAGGGAGAACACAACAGGCAATGCTTTTGTTCATCATTAAAAGTTATTACTTTAAAGGCCTGACTTCATAACATCCAAGAGACACCCTGTTCAGCTCATTTTAGAATAGTTCTTCCTTCTACTGCCAACATATTTGAATATCCAAGCCTGCCCTGCTGCCTGGAGCACAACCACAATCTARCAAGAGTCTGTACTTCCACAGGCTCCCAGACCCACCATCCTTAGCCCTACATCCAGCCAGGACACATTGCAAAACCAGACATGGTTGCATCATGATTTTTTGAGAGCTTAAGCTATAAATACTCGTAGAAAAAGAATGTACAGAAACAGAAAGCAGCACTGGTATCATCTGAGCTAAGTTTGTGTGGAATTTCCTTTTGCACAAAGAGCTGGGAGGGGAACAGGGCAAACCTGTTACACCAGCATGGGCAGGGAAACCTGTCCACACCGAGAGATAGAAATGCTCCACCAGTTCCAGAAAGATAAAGGCCAGAAATACAAGTTTTATATTATGATGGTACATTAGAATAAACCATGTCAAGAACTATTTTCAATTATCAAAATTTKTGTGGACARAGGTTCAAGACAAAAACTAAATAAAATTAATTCTTAATGTTTCTAGACAAGGACTTTTCCCTATTTTTTTCTATATTGTGTAGCCTTAGACTCTCCAAGGCAGAGACTGCCACTTAGATTATTACTTTCAGCTGTGCACTGCCCAAAACAACAGGGCCTGCAGCTTGGCTGGTGCCTAATTACTAATGTAATTAACAACGACAGGAGCATTAGGAGCCCTTTATGCCGAAGTAGATGCTGGAATCTCAGTAGGTTCCAGTCACAAATAATAACTCAGAGTTACTCTTAGAAGTTATATTRTCTAGCACTTCTTCATTCAGTTTGCACAATAAATGTCTGAGCAACACAGAAGCTGGGTAGGAATTTTCCCTCAGCCATGCTGAGAACAAGACCATGCAGATCTGTTATCCAGATATGGGCCTATTCCTGTAAATTCTCTGTTTATCTCTCCTGTTGTTGTGATTCAGAACACTCCCAGATTCAGCTCCAAAASCCAAGTAGAAGCAATTCCATTTTTAGAAAGCCAGGACTTTGTTTAGGAAACCCCAATCCCCTTTGAAAACAACCAGATTCACTGCTAAATGATTGAGAAACCATATAAAGTAGATAAAATAAATCCCTAAACTAGAGTTCAATCTAAACCTTTTTTTCTCTGTTTGTTTACTTATGCAAAGCAAGAAAAATCACAACTTTTAGAGCATGGAAAAGCATTTCCAGCTTCCASGATATAGCAGGAAGAGGATGTACCTTTCCCCCCAGAGTTATCACMCTTACAGCTGCTTCCCTTTGATTTTATAATTCTACCCAAATTGTCACTGTCCGAGATAAGGAACATTGCTCTTGCTTGTAACCTCCCATACACTGGGACTGAAAGAGCACCAGGAAAGGAAGAGGACACACCTTTCCTAGAGGCCATCATCATCACAGCTGTTTCCTATCTGCTGTTACAACACTRCACACATCACTCACACACACAACAGGGGACCTTGGTGTTCTTTAATGTCCCATCAGCGCCCAGAGGGGCCAGATCAAGACCTGATAAACCCCAAAGGCCTTGGCCAACCTCACGTGGGGCATTCTGCTCACACCCTGTGCCCATGGACCCAGGAATTCAGTCTAAGATCTGGCCTAAAAGCCCCCTTGCTTTGCCCTGTGTTTTAAAGGGTCCTGGTTCCAGCTCAGGCTGTGCCTGGCTGTAGATCCTATTGATACAGATCCTAGATCACATCTGGCCTTTTCTTCGACCTGTCCAGCCATCATTAGACCATGGCTGACTCTGGTTGCTGTCAGCCAGACTGCAGATGGAYTTCTCAACTCAGCCTTGCCCATGTYAYTGCTGRGAACTTACCAGATCACCTCGATTTTGGCTGCTCTCAGCTCTGGGCCTGCTCTTCTCTCTTTCCCCAGGGACTGTGGGACTGGATCCTGAGTGGCTTGAGGTCTGTGTTATCTTGCTCATCCCCTCACTCCGTGCCTGTAGCCTGGCTCACAAAATACRTTAATAAAATGGCCACCTTGTTTACTTGTGCTGAGCTGTACCTGCAGGCTCTTCCTCCATCAGRATTTTCTGACACTGCTGATACCTTCCATCCAACTTCAATAGTTGTCCATAATACACTTAAAAAAACCCAACCAAACCAGTGAAGAGTTCTAATTACATGTTTTGTTACAAGAAGGAACAAAAAAAATAGATATCTAGGCTAAGAATAACTGGATRTATTGGGAACAGCAGACTTACAGCAAAGTGATCTTGTGTGGAACTCCAATGAAACAAATAAATTTCTCAATGAAAGTTATTATTACAGCTTATTAATGATGGGCAGAGACTGGTTGGTATCTTAATAGAGATAAAAATTTAGGTACAGACATCTTTTAACATACAAATTCTTAAGAAAATGCACAGACAAAGAAAGTAAACACGTCACAAATTCTGGTTTATGTTCATTTTGTATAGGTAATTGGGGAACTTACCATTACTACAATATCCTAATAGTTGGTGAGGAAACATTAAAAAATAAAAAGATCTTCAGAAAATTTCTATTCTGTGGCATAAAAAAAAAAAATCCCTGATTGCTAGGAAACATCCTCAGACAGACGATGATTCTTTTTCAGAACAGAGTTCCCCAAGGCAGCATCCTCAGACTAAAAAAGGCTCAGCAGCTGAACCAAATCCCAGAATTACTGGGGAATTCCTCGTGTTCTTTGACCACTCAAGCAGTCAAATTTTGCCTGATAATTTTTAGAGGAGCAAGGCACAACAGCCCATGCTGCAGCTGAGGTTGCAAGCAGCTGTTTCTCAAAAGTCAAAACTCCCCAGGTTTCCCAGGTGATACATGCACAGGGATTAAAATCATTATAATATTTTTAAAAACCCAAAACCAACAAATCCTAAGAAAATACCTAACCGGAGTTTTTTAGGATAAATCATGCGATGTTTGTGGTCCRTAGGTTTTTTTATAACCTGTCTTGTAGCTCCGTGTGGTGCAAGGGCTGATGTTGCCAGGACATCTAGTGGCACCCACACGTACTGCCCAGAGAAAAAACATTGCTAGAAAAACAGATTTTTTTTTTTTTTTCATGCTTCCAGATATTTCCTGGTATCTTTCCAGGTTTCTTTGGCTGTTGCTGAGATTTTTCTGTTTGTTTTATTACCTAAGAATATACAAGGGGGAAATGAAATTGTGAGAAAAAATGTACAGGAACATCTGAATCATCTCTCTAAATAAAGATGGGATATTGCTACATAATCTTGATAAAAAAGGTCAAGGCCATTGATTTTTCTYTGCCTTTTCACCCTCACTTGCCTGTTCCTGTCCAGTTGATCATCTCTCTTTAGAAAATTTGCTCAGAATTTACAGAATTTGCTCAGCTGTTTCTCCATACACTGAAAGGGAAAATCAGAATGTCTGAGTTTTGGGAGCTTAAAGCACAGGGCTCTTCACTGAAAAATTATATTTACATTGATGGCTTCYCATTGAATAATCTTTCAATATTTTTTTTTTTTTGTTTAGCAACGTATCAACCAAAAATCCATTTTAATTGCCCCTATTCACGTCCACTTTGTTTCTTTGTTTCTTACTCTCATTTTGAGCAACAAGTCATGGAAAACAGGCCCAATCTTCTTTTTGTTTTACTTGTAAAGGGGTCTACAGCTACAAGTTTTAATATTTCAATAGCTGCAAAACCATTCCTGTAAAAATGCAGAAATCCTTTTGTTTGTTACATGTTTTTCTGGTGGCATTTAAAATCAATACTTTAACCCTGGCTTTAAATAGAAAACAATTTTCCTGTTGTTTGGACTACCTGATGTTCAGACGTCTGCTGTTGCCATAGCTCCCAGGAAGAAGCTGGAACTTACTGGTAGATCCACGTCTGAGCTGGAAACAGCCACTTCAGCCCTCCTGGTAAACAACCATCCCACATCTCCCTGCGGACGGTGCTGCAGGGCTGAGGTAGGAAGAGATTCAGTCTTTTTTGGGGTTTTTTTTTGGTGTCACCCCACAGAGGCTGGTCTGGGGGAGGCTCAGGGGGTTCTTTTTGGCCAATTTTYCTTTTTGAGACCCACGGCTATGGGGGGACCCACTACCCAGGGGGGACCCCACAGCTGAGGGGGGTCCCAGGGATGAGGAGGGACCCAGCAAAGGGCCTGGTTATTGCCATGACCCTAAATRAGGGGCTGATCCAACCCGGGGGGCTTCGAGGGGAGCAGCCTGTGGGCAAGGCAGCCCAGCAGAGCCCAGAAAGGGCTCAGGGGGAGGGAGAAAAGCAGGGAAGCATCTTCTCTGTGGGGAAAGGCTGAAAGGGCTGAGGATGTTYAGCCTGGRGAAGGTTSTGTGGAGACGTCACAGCACCTTCCAGRWTCTGAAGGGGCTMCAGMAGCTGGAGAGGGAYTTTTCGGCGGGAAYTGTGGTGACAGAACAAAGAGGAGCGGGTTTAAATTGAAAAAGGGAAAATTGAGGCTGGATACGAGGAGAAAATTGGGCGGTTGGTGAGGCTGTGTCAGAGGTTGATCAGAGAAGCTGCGGCTGCTCCCCGGGAAGCCTTCAAAGCCGGGTTGGACGGGGTTGGACGGGGTTGGGGCAGCCCGGTGCAGCGGGAGGCGTCCCTGCCCGGGCAGGGGGTGGCACTGGCGGCGCTCGGAGGTGGCACWGGMGGCGCTCGGAGGTGGCACTGGCGGCGCTCAGAGCTCCCCCCATCCCCAACCCCTCCATGACTCCCTGACAGGAGCCGGCCCCGCCCACCGCGGTCACGTGACGCAGCCCCCGCCCGACACGTGACTCGCCTGACCCGGAAGTGGCGCGCGGGGGACGCTGACGCTGGAACAAAGATGGCGGCCCGCGGCGCTGRGGCCGTGCTGGGGCTGCTGCTGCTGTTGCTGCTCCGCGCGGGCCCGGCCCGCGCCCGCGTCCATCACCTCACCCTCAAAGTAAGGTCTGCGCCGCCCCCGGCCCCGCTGGCTCGGCCCCCGGGTGCCCTGAGGGGGGCGGTGAGGCCGGCCCGGCCCTGCGCACCTCCCGCGGGCCGGGATTGGTCTCCCCACGTYTCTATCTTCGTTCTGCTGTCTGCTCCGACCCTTCTTTCTCTCCGCTTCTTTCTGAGCTCTCCCCCCTGCGCCCCAGCCCGCCCGGGCCCCGCCGTGTTCTGCTTTTGCCGTTATTCTCCCGCTGTCTCTGACGGCATCCTCATAGCCCCCGCTTTTTGTGGCCGCCTGTTTCTTAGCCGCGGGTAAAGCGTGTGAAGGGGCCTTATAATTGCGGTGGTTTGAAGGTGCAACTGCTTCACATTCCGTTAAAAGCGATGTGATGAGAGAGRGCTGAACGTGAGCTAGGGGAGAGGTCTTTGAAAGAGGTTTGCAGTTGAGTTTCCTTTTAGCTGTGTTCTGCAGTGGCGATCTTGTCCTGGTCACTGAAGGATGTTTGGCTGCCTTTCTGCCCTTTCAGCTGCTTTCCACTAACCATTTAGTAGAGGCTGAGGAAACTGATGCTGACAGCTTTCTGTTTTGGTTTGATAGACTGCTGGGTGCACTTTGAAGGAGTGATGTGTCATCCTGTGACTATATTTGAGAAAAACGAGTTYTTCAGTGTTGTTGGCAGGATGCTGTGGTGGTCAGGGTGTAGATGTGCTGCTGCTTGTTGTGTTCTGGATGAGCTTGTTGTGTTCTGCACAGTTGCTGTAGTACAGAGGAACTGTAAAGGCTTCTGTGTAGTTCATGGAAAGCTCTGTGAATCTTTAAAATTGAAATTTTCTGGTTGCCAACAATATGCATTWTTCTGCCATTAAAAACATTGGAAGAGATAATAAAGTTGTCAGTAACTGGGCACAGTGTAGCAGTTCCAGGAATGCCCAGAACTTTATCCTTTAAGACTTTGGGATACTGTGAGTGCTGGGGGATGTTTTTGTCTTATATATAGGAAATTTTCCAGACTGTGTAGCTGTTTAAAGTGCAACCACATAAATGTTATTGTACTTCAGAGAAAGTAAATGTTTCCCTGAAGCAACAAATTAGGAGGCTTGTACTGGTTACGTTATTGTTTTGAGGAATCTGTGACAGTAGTTGAAGGTTGAAAGATTTCTCTGGGGTTGGTACTTTACCCGTATGTAGAAAATTTTTGAACTTGCCCCAAGCAAATGTTCTCAGCAGCAAACATTATGGATTTTAGTCTCTATTAGGGATCCATTACTGAATCCTGTTTGCTGTTTTTTCCCATCAGAGCAGGGTTTGGGTTTGGTTTGGCAGGTGTTTTGTGCGAGTTGCAGCACTGACCTCCCAAGGGCTGTGAGAAGTAGCAGGGAGTTAATTCCTTTGCCCACCTCCTTTGTAAACATGAGCKTTATTGTTGGAGCAATTTCTCCTTTCCTCCTTCATGCCCTGCTTTACAGCCTTTGTGTAAACATCAGGCTCCAACAACTGAGCCCTTTCACAATGAAATCTCCTTTCTGGGGTTCTTGCCATTGGTTCCTGCTTTGCTTGTAAGTGTGCCTTGACACTGAGCCAGGCTAAGGGCCACAGTTCTGTAGGAGCGTTTGAAATGCAATTTCCTCAAACAAGGTGTTATTGCTTAATTCAGAATAGCTTCATTCTTCTTGTAATTACCGTGCTAAGGTGAAGCCTTTCTTTGTTGTCAGAAAAACAAGCCACAGTCTGAGCACTTTCCTGTTCTCAAAAGAGCGTTTCATCTTTATAAAAGTGTAAAAAATAGTTGGGGCATTTTTAAGTTAGAGAGATGATTTGCTTTAATCTTGCTGTAAGATTGACCCTGTCAGAGATTCTTGTCATTTAGTAGCAATCATTATCAGCTTCATTAGTTTAATGAGATATGTAAAAAAACGCACCCCCTACAAAAAAACCCTGCAAAAATTGAAAGCTATACAAGAGGAACAGAAACAATTTTCAGAGGATTCCAGAAATAGCTGTAGTTGAAATGTTTCTCTTGACCAACAATAAGGCMTTTGTTAGATACGGAGTTATGCAGAAGATGCKGGTTTTCCRTGGTTGTTTGTAAATACTTGTGGTRGGTTTCAGGCTTCMATAGCTTAGGTTGAAAACACCTTTCACAATAATTCACTTAGTCTCACACAAATTATAAGCTTTGCTGTTCGGCTCACAAATAATAAGATTCTTTTCAGACAAGGATAAGCACTCTCGAGTGGAACTTCTATTGCACTGACAATAGAATCCAATTAGATTTAGGGTAAAATGTTAGGGAATTTTTTTTGCCCCTTCTGAGCCACAGGGTCATGGATTCCACTTCCCTGTAACCTTATTCGAATATTGCAGGATCATTTTTTATCCTAAAGGAGTGGAAAAACTGGGGAAGATTTTTATGGAAACAAACTTGAGAATTTTGGATATTGGTTTGACTGTAATCTGTTAGTGATGAGTCCCCAGACCATCTCCTCTCAGCAGGGCAGGCTTAATTTTRAATGCATCCTATGTAAATTAAATTAACATGTATGTTAACAACTTGGATGCTGAAGTATTTACTTGTATGGGTTCACACCTTCGTTGTAAATTTAAATATTTRTGAATATAGAATATGAAGATGAATAAGTAGCTGAGTGATTATAAATAAAAGCTGGGTTCTTTCAACCCCTTAAACCTCAGACAACTATTAGKAAGCCAATGCCTTTAAGCTGTCAATATGTGGAGCAGTAGATGCTCTTGCTGTTGCTTGGTGGCAACTGGTGACAATGTGTGTGGGATCATGTGAAGCTGAAGGATTTGTGAACTAAATCTGTAAACTCTTAAGCACTCAAAGCTGAGATAAMACCAGGGAGGAAAGTGGTGTGTGTTGTATATTAATTATCTGCTGGTGGTGGGGAGCATATCAGTAAATTAGCAGAGTAAATCACTTAAATTGACCTGAAAGCTCTTGCAAGTGCTTTGGATTAAGCAGCTGCCTCTGGTCACRTTTGCAAGGTACAAAACCCCCTGTGGCTGGATGATGCTGTGTCCTCCTCAGATTCACCCAAATTCTTCTCTGTCCAGTGGGGTTAAATACGCCTGCTGTACCCGTAAAGAGCCAGGATTAATTTTCTGTTTTGAGTGGGAAATTACATGGAATGCAGTGTTAGAGGAACCAGATGGGCTCTTGTTYCAAGCATGTTCCATGACCTAGAACCCTAAAACAGTGGAGCTATAMTGCTCTGTTGAACAAAATATCTGCTGGGAGCCCTGTGTAACTCAACTTTTTTTCCTCTTCTGAGCATTAAGGGAACCATCTGGTTATTTGCCAGGTTAACTTAATTCTATTAGGGTGATCTTATTACAGCTAGATTACAGGTTAGCTGTGTCAGGATTAGTGTCCTGCTATTACAGTGARTGATATTTATGAGTCAGGAACATTTTGTGCGGAGATGTCAAAATCAATACTGGGGTAGAGGTAGAGAAAGAACTTTTTGTACTTATACAATTCTTAGCTCAGTCTTCCAGCACTGTCCCCAGAACAGTTTGCTTTTAGCATCTGACTTCTCTTTTTAGAGAATTCTGCAATCTGATTATCGTTTCCTAGAAGAAACAGGAGGAAGAAACATTCTTTTTTAAATTGTTTTTTAGTGGCAACTTGTTAAATGTTTTAAATCCCATTTCAAAATTGATTTTTCATTTCTGTTGTCTTGTTTCTGGTTTTCTTCYAATTAATGACCCAGTAGGTTTGAGGGACCAACTGCAGATGTTGGATACGACCTTTTGTCATCTGATGTGGCAGCTGTGTGTGACGTCAGCTACTTTTCATGTGAGGTTCTTCATGGCCTCCTTATTTAACAAAGAAATTAAATCTCAGTGCACTTCAACCTTTATCAGCTGAGCAAGGCATGGGAAGAAATCAATTGCTACATTTTCCTTGCCAGACTGAGAGGAAGGAAATTATTGTGCGGCTAAACTGCGAGTAGTGGAGGGGATTAGAATTTTCCTGCTAGAGAAGCTAATCCAAGTAATTCTGTTTTCAGCGTTTATTCTATTCTTATTTTTTATTTATTTTATGCTAAAAGTAATTTGGAGGTATGGGACTAGACACAAASCTTTATTTTCACACATAGTTTTCCAGGCTATTAGTGTTTGCCTGTCCAAACATTGACCCTGCCTAGCACAGATGATCTGAGGGGATGACAATGCATTTGCTAAGCACTTGGCCAAATCCCAGCTCTTGGTTAGGTAAGATCTCCAAAGTCACCCRGTTCTCTTCATTCTGTGGCAATGACAGTAGCCAGCAGTCAAAAAATAGCTATCTTGATGTGTCTGCAGYCACTTTGTGGGGTTTTACTAATGTTGTTAAATTAATGATGCTAGATGTTTAAATTCTTGSAGAATTTTGCATGTGTATTTCCCATAGCACAACCAGACAGTTAGCACTGACATGTCTGTTTAAAGTTCTTGCTGTTCCCGTTATTGGAAAAGTTGGTCCATTCCACTGAAATACTTGGTTACATCTGAAGATATCCTAAAGAAATTTGCTGCTTKTATAATTAGATATTTTGCATGAATATTCAAGTGTCACTCACTCACCCTGCTTCCCCTTTGCTGCAGCAGATGACTCTGCATGTGATTTGTAAACTTGCTTTCCTTTCTAACAGGATGATGTGAGGCAGAAAGTGCACCTGAATACCTTTGGCTTCTTYAAGGATGGTTTCATGAGAGTCAATGTCAGCAACCTTTCCCTGAAGCCAACAGTGGACCCTGATGTCATGGACAGTTTATCAGTGAGTTCTTCCTGTAAAGCCTCCTGTGAAATTGCCCTTGCACTGGTGGTCTCCACTTGTCTGAGGTGTCAGATCTGAACTCCTGGTGCTGTGGGCTTTGCTCCCCACCATGACTCAATTATGAGGATCTGTGTATTGAGATTTATTCCTGAGCACTCTGCATTCTGCTTTAAGGATGAACCTTTAACTCACTGGATTCTCTGCTCATCTCAATGCACACATCTATAACTACGTTGAATATCAATTTCCTAAGCAGTCCTTTGATGTGAGGTTTTTTCACATTGTATCCTGTTGCATTGCAATTGAGCTTGTAATCATTATGTCAGTAGATTTCCAGACCAGTGACAATCTTATTTTTAAGAGAACTCTAACATTACATGTCATATTGGAGTTTTAATACAGTGACTGAAATACCGGATTAACAAACAGACCCGAGTTCTTACTCTGCTCCACAGTTTGACCTCTTTATTGCTATGAAAGTATTAAATGTTTTTGTCAAGCAAAAACATCTGGAATAATACTGAAATATACTAAAAGGTTCAGGGACAGAAGGTATTCCAGATTTATTTTCGGTTTGAGTCAAGATTTCTTGGAGGATGAGGCAGCAAGTTTGTTATATTTGAATATATTTTTTTGTCTAATTAGATGATGAGAAAAATACCTGGATTCTGCCTTAAATGTAKGTTAATTTATTTAGAAAGCAGCATCTTTGTGTCTTTCAGTAGTGGTTTGGCTTCAATTTGACAGATTCTTCTCTGTTGTCTCATAGGTGGGATTCAGCTTGGATCGAACAAGGAACGATGGTTTCTCCACCTACCTGGTAAGAGAAGTGAACTTGCTTTTCTAAGCTGGAATGTCTCACAGTTTACCTGACTCTGGGAATGCTTGGGGGGAAAAAACGGTGGGGAGGACTTTAAATATGGGGAGGATGTGAAGGATGATTTGGATTTCCAACTTGCTGGATTAAGAATGGTAACCTCTACCTGAAGGGGAGCAGGTCCCATTTCTTATAAACCAGAGGGCACATCAGAGGTGTTTTGCTCATGTTGCCAGGATGAAGAAGTGGATTACTGTATCTTGAGAAAGACACCAGAGCCAGATGTYTCTGTTGTAATCTTACTTCTGGACATCCGAGCTGAAGTGTGAGTAAAGAGTGCACATGGCATTTTGAAATTGCTTCTTTAGTTGAAAATAATTTTAACAGTTGGGTTTTTTTAAGTGTTTGGAAAGCTGCTGTGTATGTAGGTTTTTTTGGGGGTTATTTTTTTAAGGGGAGTTGAACGTAAAAGGAAAACATCTGCAGTATAAAATTGTCCAGGAATTCTTCCTGCCTATTGGAGGGGTAAAGAGACAGCAGGCAAAAGCAACCTGCCTTGATTGTGCTCAAGGCACAAGCTTGAAGTCTTGGGTCCCTTGCAACTCTTGCACTCAAGAGGCCATTTTATTGTTTGTCTTGAATTATCTATTCTGTGGATGTACCTCTGAGGCTGCATCGCTTTCTTTTGCAAGAGTACATGTGTGGTAACTTAATTTCTAGTGAGACTSTGCTTACCAAAGCTGAAGAAACTTGATTTTCTTCATCTGCTCTTGTTTTTGACGTAGAGGTAGGATGTGACTTTTCCCACAGTGATCAGTTCTGCTGTGAGTCATGATCTGGTTCTTGCCTGTTCTTTGTGGTACAAAAAAACAAGTCAAGACAAGYTAATTTTCCACTATTGGGTATATGGCTGTGACAAATAGCCTCTTTAAAAATACTGTTTTACTTTCATTTTGTAATAAAACGTCTTTGTTTTTTAGTGTGAAAGTACGGTTCTCTTCAGAAGCTGCTTCGTTGTTACCTAAAATTTTATTTGTATCTGAGGAAAATGGTACTGCCTTAAATACCAAGCTGCTMAAACCTGAACAGAGCAATGAGTCTGGTACAAATCCTGAAAAAGRTGGCAAAGGTAAGCCAGCTAAACTTGACCAGTGTGTGCTCTCCGTGATGATTCATCATTGTTGTGCATCCAGCACTGAGTTGTGGTCATGTTCTGGGGTCCTGTTGGRCTAGAACTCAGTGCACATCTTGTGGAAACCTGTGCACAGAGCTGCTTTTGGGGCTGGAGTCTCCTGCTAAGTGATTCGTATTCACCAGTCCTATTGATCCACCAGAGAGACAACAGAGASTGTTGGAGACTTTCAGTGCTTCCGAAGAGGAGTTAACAACTTGGTTGTCTTTTGTCTGGCAAAAAGAAGGCTAAAGGGGGAATTTTATGGCCACCAACAGCTAGTTGTAGGAGAGTTAGGAGAACAATGATTTCAAGCCATTTTTAGTAACACTGAATGCTTTTTTTCCCTTTATTAAGTTGTGGGTGTCTCAGATGGGATGTTAGGATGGAAAATAAGTAAAGGTATCTTTCCTAAGTARGTATTCCCACATTGTAGCAGATCTTTTGTGCAATCCAGCTTCATCTTTTGGGATTTTTTATGCTTGGCTCAATAAAACCAGGACCAATATGATATCGTTGACACCAGTTGGTATTTGAGTCAGAAGTTGGGTTAAATATCTCCACAAGTCTTTTCCAGCCAATGTTTATGAGTCTGTGTATCTAAAGAGTTGAACTCAAGTCTATCACTTAGAAACTATGGAAAGGGAGCAGAAACAATAGCAGTAATCTTTCTAGGAGGCACAAACCTTTGTCTGGCTTCCAGACCAGCAGACGAAACAGTTTTATAATCTCAKCTCTAATGGGATTAGCTCATGTTATCCCTTCCTGGCAGAGTTTAGACTTCAGATCAGACTGCTGAGCAGTCTGATCTGGAGTAGTCTGAGTCTGTCTTGGCCTGTCATGTTCACAARCTTTGATACCATTCAAAATCTTGCACAGCTGTTCTAACAAGTCAAGAACCAAGGATGGGTGGCACTGGAGATAATGGATCTGATAGCTGTAGTTTTGCTTTCTTCATGTAAAAAGTGTAGCATGAGCATGGACAGTGCATTGAGTGTGGGAGCCAAGAGCAAAGCTCAATTTTTGAGCTTTTGCTGCCTRGTAGAATGGGATGGCCTTACATTTGAAAAGCTTCTTAGAGGAGTAGGGTCAAACTGTGAACCTGACATGCTGCTCTACTGAAGGCTCCTGTCACCTCAAGTGCATAGGAGATCCTGACTTGTCAGGTCRCCTATGCTTTTGTGTTTTGTTTGTTTGTATTTTTACTGGGAACTTAGTGGAATGGTGTGAAGTTATTCCTTCCCCACATTTTTCAGGCCATGTATTAATGTTCAGATTAAGATTTGTCAGTGAGATTAACAGTACTCAGTCATAACATAAAAGATCAGAGCTATAGCTTGCATCTGGTTTAGGTCACCTATCTCCTGCACCACTCTCATCAGAGGGGTTGGAAAGATTTCTGGGGTAAGGCTTTTGCAGGAGATGTAAGAGTAGAGAATCATATCTTGGCATTTGAGGATGCATTCAGAATGAATGCTGGCTGTGGGAAGAGTCCTGTGAGAGTAAGAAGAGGCTGGGAAAGAATCTCTGTTAATGATTAGCTGGGAAACTGCCACGCAGACAAGTGTAGGAAGATGTGASTAAGGTATTGACAACGTGGTGGTTTTTGAGGATGTCTAAGTGCAAACACTAAATGTGCCATTCATGCTTTTATCTCTAGATAAGAAGTCCAAACGAAGTACAACRTCCTCCCAGGTAAGAAACTATCTGGAGTTCTCTTTCAGAAAGAACCTGGGGGGATATTCCAGTCCAATCATAGTCAAAAAGTGGAGAGTATTTGCTGTTGCTCTCAGCCTCCACTGTAAATATACAGAATGCTATTTGATTGTCTGGTTTATGTAGCCAAATGTTTTAGTTACCTGCTTAAGAAAATCTAAAGGTCTCTTTTCCTTTTCCCAGAGCATGATAGAGCAAGAACATCCTGTTCGCAATGACAGAGGAACCTTTTCATTTCAGGTAGGGTGCCTGTCAGTGTCTAAACACAGTTCCTTCACTGTCCTACTTTGGAAAAGTGCAAGTCTGATATAGATGTCTCTCTGATGATAAAAGTTTGCCTGAAAATTTACTGAGCTAAGCATCAGTGGTGGAAATCTTTCTTTATAAGTTGTGGGAGCTGCTTTTAAATTGGCTTTGGTRTGATGCTGTTCTAAATATCATAATCTATTAGCCTCAGCATATTGAAGTTTACTGTGATGCCAGTAGTGCAGATTTCTGATAACAAATAGCTGTGACCTGACTGATGACTCAAGGGGAAGATCCTCTGTATGAAACAGATTAATGCTTTGTTTGAGCACCCTCKTTCATTTGTGATGGTTGATTACTATAAAACAAACACATTTTAAATTCTGTTATCTGACACAAATCTCACTTCCAGAGCTATCACAATTTGCATAGTTGGGAGAGGAACAGAACAGCTGCAGGGCAAATATCATAAAACTTTTGTGCTTCACCATGTTCAATATGTGATACTTCTGGTTATCTTTTCTCTGTGGTGAACCAAGTTAAGCACTGATACTTAACAGGCTTGGATTACCAGAGTGCATAATCCTAGATAGGTGCAATGATTCTGCATCTGGAATTCTGTTGAAACTTCCAGATGTGCTGGGTGTCCTCAGAACAGTCTGTTTGCTGAAGGGARCCAACTGACCTCAAATGACTGACTTCCTTCATGCTTCAGTGGAGATGACTTCCTACCAGGGCAACCCTCTTGTGAATGAGAAGAATGCTGACTTTTCTATTCCTTATTTTCAGTTCTATTTTAACATCAGCTCAGATAAACAAGAAGGTCTCTACAGCCTGTATTTCCATAAGTGTGTTGGCAAGAAAGGGCCGGCCAACGATCAGCTGCTGTTTAGCCTTGATGTGAGTATGGCTTCTAAAGGATAATTAACTCATTCACTTAGATTGGAACATCCAGCTTCCAGCTCGTAACCAAGCACACACTGCACACGAGTGCACATATGGGGTGGGAAGTGATTCAGAGTTGTGTGYCAGTCTCTGCAGTGGCATTTCTGAAAGAAGCGACTACTGCAAAAATAATTAAAATACTGCTTTTGCAGAAATGCCTGAAAAGCTGAAGGCTGAGTGTGGGCTGGGTTCAGTCCATACAGTTGTGACCTGATGCTGTAATGAGATGGGAGCTACAACAGCTACTTGTGTTTTGYTGCAATCAAAAGTCACTTTTCTCTTTACATGATTGCAGATATTATGGTTGCTGCTGCAATCTAAATTGTTAGTATTTGTGAATTCAGTGTTTTTGCTTTTTCTCAACTAATTAAAGATGTGTTTTTATGGTGTTAGATACACATCCTAAAGGCAATATGTTCTAGCAAATGTTTAATCTCTTTTGATGTATAGGGGTTTGGTTTTATATTTTTTGGTCATTATTTCCCTTTTCTTGCTTTCCTGTGCTCATGCTGGTGTATAATGAGCTGGTCTGGTATGAATCCTCTCACTGACTGAGGTACCCCAGCCAGATCAGCCCCTGAASTACTTTTTACACATTTGTCTTAATCCTGCTGCAAGGAAACATGGAGGTGATAAAATTTAGCAGCCCCAACTTGACTCAGACAAAGCTACTTTAAATCTGCTTCTGAAGTTGTGTGTTGAGAAGGCCTGCTTTCCCAAATTGCTATTTGTCCCACTTKGACCCACTGAAGAAATTGGAAAGAAGAAAAAAACTGGGTGATTGATCTGCTGRAATGTATTTAGAGATGCAGGACTGCTTCAGTACTGCAAACCAGACCTGATGCATTCTTTTAATGAAGTCTTAGCACTTCTGACTAAGCCACTTAAGGGTATAAATAGGATGCTAAATAATGCTTCTGTTTTCTCAGTCACAGGATAATAGGCTGGCAGCCTGTTGTAGATATTTTTATGAATAAAAGGTGGGCAAACTGTGAATTTTGTAGAGGGAACAACTATTCTTTGGGAAAATTGCTTTGCCTTTCTGAATTGCGTTGCATAACTGAAGCATTGTTTTTCAAGGGGATTATTGTTGTGAGAGTAATTTTGCAAAATGTTTTTAGATTCTTGAGGATCAAGAGTTGGGTTTGGTTTTTTGCCTTRAGTCTCACAAGTCATCACTTCAGAAAAGCTCATTTTAAATGAGTGAATGATTGTGAAATGTAGTTGTTAACTCAGTGCTTTAACAAAATGATTTTTTTCAACTGTACACATAACACACCTTTAATATTCAGATAGATATTACGGAAAAGAATCCTGAAAGCTACCTCTCAGCAGGTGAGATCCCACTGCCAAAACTTTACATTTCCATGGCTCTCTTCTTTTTCCTGTCTGGGACTGTATGGATCCACATACTTCGTAAACGCAGGTAAGTTCAGTGTCTGTCACAAGTAGGGGCCTACCTTGTTTGATTTTTATTTTTCATTCCAGTTCACAGTTAGATTTAATCACTTAAAACTCCAAATCTGCCTCAATATTGTGTGCTTAATATATACAGTTTATATTTGAAAACTGAGTCAGTATTGTTGTTACAGACTTTTTAAAGTTATCAAATCTTATGTTGAAAGTTCTTCAGGTAATTTACATATAAGGCTAGATTGTGGCAAAAAATAGACAAGAAATTCCTGAATTTGGTGTCAAAAGGAGATGACTCAAAATAAATAACAGGAAAAAATTGATCCTTTTTCATATGGAAATGGCAACTTAAGTCAGTAGAGAGCCATAAATATMTTTATTGTGGTTTGAATTATGTTTAGTTAATTTTCTAACAGTTATATATATAAATATGTGTATACGTATATATATGCAGGATATTCTTATTAATCAGTAATTTTAATTACCCCAAGCAGTAAAAATCAGGGGTTTAGAGCATGAAGTTGAAATACTGCTCAGGATATTGCAGAAACTTGGACTGCAGCATTAAGGGGAAACTTTTTGCACTAATGGTCAGCTCAGCCCAGGAGCGACTGCCTGGCACTTAAAGGTTTTAAAGGAAGACCTTTGGAAAATGAAATTTTTACTGCTGGCTTTTAATTAATGCTCTTCCTTCTTTTCTTTCTTTCCAGAAATGAYGTCTTTAAGATCCACTGGCTCATGGCAGCCCTTCCTTTCACCAAATCATTGTCTTTGGTCTTCCATGCGGTGCGTACAGCATCTCTGCCTGAAATTGTTCAGCTAGGAAGTAAAAACATGGAATCCAGGGCACGCTTTTAGGAAAATCTGCTTTGGAGAGGGGAGAATGGGAGGGAGAAYTGTTCTTAATACTGAAGCCTTAGAACTGAAGTGCAGCTCTTTGGTGAAAGTGTTTGTTTTCATCTGCAAATTCTGACTTTAAATACGGTTGAGATTGTGGCTTGAAGTGTTGAAGCAGGAAGGGTTGGGGGTTGAATGAGTTCCATAGATTTTAATGTTTTGGCTATCTGAGGCTGGCCTGAAAGCTTGAGCTGTGCTACTGCTTCAGCTCCATGGCTTGCAGTAAATATTAATAAATGAGAATCTTGATGAATGTTTGTAAAATTCAAGGGCAAGGAAGTATTATGGTATATGGCAACAGACCTCACTTATCAACTCTGAGACTTTCCATAGATAATGTCTCTGTTGAATTGTATTGACTTTGCCTTTCTGCTGGAAATACCTCATGAACAAAGGTAATGGCAAGCATTTAATCCTTCAGTGTTTGTGCCAGCCATGATCACCTTCATGTTCATGGTATTACACCTGCTACAAATATWTTTGGAGTCTAATTAAGTGAATCTGGCTTCCAGTGAAAATAAAACTGGCAAGCCTCTAGTCACCTATTGCAACTGAACTTGAAAAATGAATGATTAAATAGCTTCCAAATGCAGGTTCACTATAGTTAAGCAGGGGAGTTGTGTGGGAAGGATGTAGATTGTGCAAGATACATCCACTAGCACTTGGGAAATGGAGCAAATGGAAATGTTCTCATTGTTGCTAAACAAAAGTAGAACGTGCTGGGAGGAAGTGATCTCTAAMTGTGACAGAGCTGGGTTTGTATACACTGACTGGAAAATGAAGCTGGAAGTGGATGTGGAACAGACACTGTTTTAGAGGGTGGGGTGTCAAAGAGCAGCTTGTAAAGTGCTGTATTTTCTGCTTCCAGATCGACTATCACTACATCTCTTCTCAGGGATTCCCCATTGAGGGCTGGGCTGTTGTTTATTACATCACTCACCTGTAAGTRTGTCAGAAGATAGATGTGATAGATTCAAATTACCACTGGGGCTGCCTCCCTCCTGAGCAAAGTGGGAAATTGTTGTGTTTGCATTCAGACCACAGTGCCAAAGACTCAGCAATCAGCCGTGTGTGAAGGGGAAAGCTCCACTTGCAGAGGGCAGCTGCAGAGAATTGGCACTTCTGTGGGTGGAGGAGTAAAAGGATAACAAATGCTTTGCTTTTCTTTGTTCACACTAATGTTCAAGTATCTAATTTGCTCTTGGTGTGAATGGTAAGTGGGTACAGCTGCCAGTATTTGCTGCTGTTCACAATGGTGAATGGGTAACTCCCCCAGGAAAAGATTGCATATATTGTGAAGGAAGCCTGATACTGCTCTGTGGTACACAGTTGTAGCAAGTACATCTGCCTCACTATTGTGGGATGGATAAGTGCTTGCCAAATTATGGATAGCAAAGGCATTTGTTTGGATTTGTGGCCTTACTGGCTGTGGGAGAAACCTGAGCAGAAGAGGAAGYGTGATAAAATAAAATAAAATAAAGTCTCTGACTGTGATGTCTGTTTCTCTTGCAGACTGAAGGGTGCACTTCTGTTCATCACTATCGCCCTCATTGGCACAGGCTGGGCTTTCATTAAACACATCCTGTCAGATAAAGACAAAAAAATTTTCATGATTGTCATCCCACTTCAGGTGAGGACTGAGCTGTGCTGATACTTCCTGTCTTGTGGGAGAGCTGTTTGGGCAAGCTGGAAAAGGCTGTGAAAACTTCCCATGTAGTGAAATTGTTCTTGCTTGTAGGAGCTTACTGGTTGTTTCCTAGTCCAGAAGTTTCTGTAATTCTCTCAATTTTTCTCCATATTGAGCTTGAGATAACAGTGGTCATGTAATTTTAGCAAATGAAAACTGGCTATAAGGAGTGGGGCAAAACTTGGGCTGGAAAACCRTGCTAAACTAGTAAACAGAGGAATTTGATTAAAGTTGTCATTTCTGAAATGCCTGCAGAATGGCTTAATGAAATTTAAAAAAGAAAACCAAAGCTTTTAGGCTTGTTGGGTCTGAGGAAAATATTCCCAGTGGTTCAAAGTGATCAGTGCTGATCTCCTGCTCCAGGAACTGAAGTGCACAGGAGAATAGCACTTTAGTTTGTTGTTGTATGTAGAATAGATCTTCTGTCTTTGCAGATGAAATCCCTTACCAGAACTGTAAATAATGAGTRTTTGACACTCTTACAGATCTGAGTTACAAAAGGTGGTCCATGACTACCTGAATTACTGGCTTTATTTAGAATTACATATTCAAACTATTGGCTGTATGTGCCACATAATCCTGTTCCTGTGTTTCAATAAGTAGATTTTGCTCCTTTTATCTCTACTGATACCGTAGGTTCAGCACAGTGTATAACAAAATAACTACTTTCTGAATGTCAGCAGGAATAAGTTCCCATCAGTTTTATTTTTGTGRATTTTGTGAAGATGCTGCTGAACGTGTGACTTATGGATGTAGAGCTKCAGAAAAAATTATTGATGTTGCTGAATTGGCAGCCCATCTGTAGTGTCTTCTTGGGCAGTTTCTAAACCATGAACCATGTCTTGGTGTGTAGGTACTGGCAAACGTGGCCTACATTATCATAGAGTCAACAGAGGAGGGGACAACTGAGTATGGACTGTGGAAAGAAATCCTTTTCCTGGTGGATTTGCTGTGTTGTGGAGCCATCCTGTTCCCAGTGGTATGGTGAGTTGCTGGATGTGAAAAATGTGTGAACTAACAGGCACTGGCAGCTCAGCAGAGCTGCAGATCTGCCAGAACAAGAGAAGTCAGTGGTCCTGTGGAGTCAAGCATTCTGTTAACTTTTATAAACCTCATCAGCCTTAACACTTCAGTCTASTGCTGTGGAAGACACTTGTTTTGGGCGTGTTGGAGTGGGGATAAGGTAAGATGGGTGGCAGTTTATGTGGCCAACACTGTGCAGACTGTAGGTGCTCTTGAAACTTGAAATGTTGCAGAAGTGTTGACTCTCTAAATTGAAAAATGGCATTTGGCCTCACTGACTGAGATTAGATACTTGACTGCTAAATTTCAAAACTGTGTTGTCTAAGATCTGCTGCCTTCAAGCAGAGTAGCTGTATGTTTATTTGACTGTTTATAAGAAATAATCCCACAGGGAGCATTTCCCCGCCCTTCCTTCCACTCTACTTGGCAAGGAATAATGTTGGTTATATAAAACTCGACCAAAACACGGATAATTCAGATAAACACCATTGTTGCTGCTTGCCAGTTAGCCAGAACATTTATCTTCTAAATACATTTTGTCTTAATTGGATAAACAGCTGGGTTTAAAGGAGGATGTCAAGGAGCTTCTGGCTCCTTGGTTAGTAAACACAGAATATTCTTCTTTTTCTCCAGTATCTCCATTATTTTTTTCTGAAGTGCAGATTATATAAGTGTCTGGTAACATGTCATCACTCTGGAGTGTAACTCTTGAGTGTTTCAGAGAAAGGTGTCGCTCAGTAGATGGAAATAAGCTTCAGCTTGACTTGTGAAGGTGGGTTTCAACTGTCCTTTCCTTCCCTACACAGTCCTGGTGGCCTTCTGCCAAGGCTGGGAAATGTCTTCCAAGAAATTTGTGCTACCCACTTGTCCTTCCCCTTGCTCCAGTCAAAATGCTGCAGCTCTAAGGTTKAGTGCATTTGGGAATGGGAAATAAAACCTTAAGGATATTAACTTCAATTGCAGAGAAACTCAATTTCCTATTAAGGTGACTTCTGCAGTCACAGTTCTTGCTACCTGATGCTGGAATCTTTTGTCCAACCTAGTGAGTTTGCTGGTGCAAAGCTTGCTTTCCATAAAGGAATTGTATCTGAAAAACAAATGTGAGCTGTCCTGTGACTGTTTATGGTGTGCAACCAGTGTTCCTGCATTGCCATGGTGCCAACACAAACTGGCAGTGAAGCCCCTGACATAAAATCCTGCCCYTTTTTCCTCTGGATAGTGTCACTGCAGCTGGTGGGATGACTCATGTGAGCAAGGTGACTAAGACTTGGCCCCTGAATTTACATTCCTGCAGGGTAGTTTCTGTTACATAAGTTGCCTATGTAGACATGTAAGCTGTAATCAACTATTTAAATGAAAAGAGCTTAAAAGAGCAGTAAGATGCCAAATGCTTGGCAGTTCTTTGAAGAGTAGCTCAGCTTAATTGTACAAGTGGAAAGCATTATGCTGGAAAATGCCCCAGTTTTTCACTCAGCTCCCTCCCTCCCACAAGGCTTTCTGTAGGCTGAAGTAGGTTTTAGCAATCTGCTTTCTTAATCCCAAGGAAATAGAGATACTTGAGCTGACTGCTGAACTGGGGGCAGGGGGGTGAAGTGTGAACAATGCTAAGAACAGTTAATTATGAGCATACCCCAGCCATAAAGAACTAACAAAACTTTTCAGTGATCTAGAGGACTACAGTGAAAAGGTAGTGTAAAACCTATCATTAATCTATTCTTTATTTTTCAGGTCAATAAGACATTTGCAGGAGGCTTCAGCAACAGATGGGAAAGGCAAGTAATCCATATTCTTTTTCCTCTTTTATGCTACATATTATGTYAGAACTTCAAACACGTGATGCTGATTTAAAAACCAAACTAAAACTATAAATCTACATTGTATTAGTATCACTGGTCTGCTTTTCCTCAGTGGGCTCATGGGAATAACTTTTGGAAATTACCTTTTTCTTGTATTGCATTGAGTATCAGAACTGGAATATGTAACCCATTCTCTACTACTTGCAGRGCAGCTTGGTGCTCAAGCTAGACATGATATCTAGAGCAAATCATCTGGACAAATTTGCCATTTTTTCCTCACTTGGGTGTTCAGAAACAGAGGTAGAAATTAACTCCACATAATTAAGATGCAAACCCTTCAGATCTGTGCGGCCCCAAGTGATCCCCCTGTACCTACTTCAGTTCTTATCACAAGATGGTGCTGTGGAGTTTGATAAACCTCAGAAATCCTGCAAAGGAGGAAAGCGAGGTGGCCAACAGCAGGGATGTTCAGTATAAAGGCACAACCCATCCCCTGTCCCTCATACCGGATGAAATCCAGATCTGAGTAAAACCAAGCTGTTCTCAAGGATGCACTGTGATGTTTAAAAAATGTRGAAGTAAAAAAATTGTAATTTGAGAGGAACTGGCTGTGTCTTTGCAGCTTGTAAAATAGTGCTATGCCCAGTAGCCCTTAAGGTCTGGTTTTGTGTTCTCCATGGGTAATGATGCTCTTTATGGTGAATGTTGCTTGTGAATCACCTACTGCTGTTACCAGCTTTACCTAYTGGTGTTGCCATCTGGTTGTGCAGGTCCTGCAAGTTCAGTGATTGTGTGTATTCAGGGGGACTTAGCAACTGTGTTATGCTACACTGATAATAAAAGAATAGCTAAGGAAAAGATTTTCAGGGAAAACATTGCACAGGCTGAGAGCAGATTGTGGCCAGGAGAGCTGCAGTGCTGGGACTCACTTGTGAAACACAATCTGCTTGGGCTATTTAGAGGCTGTTGATAGGAGCCCACGGGGAGCAAGTGAATGGCAGAGTGATGCCAGAAGCAGAATGTTACCCAGTGCTGTCATGCTGCTAGGGTGTCTRGTTGAGAAAACCAAAAGTGATTTGGTTGCACTGTAAAAGGGTGAAATCATTCATTTTAGGCTTATCAATGAATACTGTTTACTAGAACCACATGCTCTTTAAGCTTCCCTTGGAGGCCCTGTTGTGCAGAGGTGCTGCTTGATGTCTCAGCTTCTCATGAGAAGAAAAATTAGAACCAGTGCTAACTGTTAAATCATTAGCATTCTTTTTTTCCTGCAGTTAAAGGTAGTTTTCTCCTGAACTAGTAAAAGTTACTGGATCCTCTCATCATGCAGTTTAACTGTCCTGTGGTTAGAGCTGACTGGATCATGTCCAGACACTCCTACTTGGGCTGCCTCTGGCCTGCTGGGATTTATTGTCAGGTCAAAGGCTGCTTTCYCAGAGCTTATTAACTTATAGGGTGTATTGTGCAATTACATACTACATGTTCAATAGCTCTTTTTCCTGGCTCTGAGTCTCACCAGCAAGGAGGTCAGCAGAAGAAAGACCTAAGGAAAATTATTTTTGTCTTCTTGCATCTATTGGGACTAACAACTCCAGGACTTTATGGYTCAGTATCCTGGTGGTGTTTCCTGACTCTTTGTCTTGTTCTCTTCCAGCTGCTTCTCCACCTGTTTATTAGGTGGCAGTCCCCTGGGTCAAATGCAACCATGGCTGGAGTGTGACTGGACTAGGAATGAAGCAGATTTGGATTTACCAGACCTTTATTCTGGGCTTGTCATGGGGCCTTAGTTTTAGCAATGTACAATTAATAAAAAAGCTTGTTATAAGTGGCAGTGACTTGGAGTCACTAGCTAATAGTTGTTTAAACTAGATTAGAATATTTTAAAGTAAAAACAAAGGGGTAAAGCTAGAGAAAGGGGTCTAAAGTCATCCAGGGAGACCTTACATACCCAGCTGCTATGGATTGCCAGTTAGGAGTAAGCATGGCACAGTGCTGCAGCTGAGCTTGAGCTGCCTGGCTGTTTGCATTTTTCCCTTGAAGGTGATTTTTAAAGCAGTATATCTGACCTACACAGGCTTCTTATCTTGCACAGCAGTGGGCGTAAACATCCCATTTTTAGAATCTTTTTTCCTCCCCTTTTAAAATCGCCACCTTCAGACTTAAACAAGTGCTTAGCTGCACCTCTTTGATCTGTCACTRTATCTTCCTTCAGGTGGGAGCCTTTGCTCCCTGTCCATTTCTAGATCTGCATTGCAAATGTCTTACAGATTTAAGGAAATGAGCCTTGCAAACTGACCTAGAATTGTTCAGCCTGCAAAGCTGCTCAACTGCCACCACCTTGTTTACAGGCATCTTGAGAAAAGAGAGGGAGTATATAAATTATTTATACATCATTTTTGTTTGAAACTCCCAAGTTTTTGGTCACTGGACCTCTCATAACACACACTTGTGATCACATGCTCTGTTGTTTAGGGGAGGAATGGGGCTGGAAAGCATTGCTGCAGTTTGTTCTGCTGGTACCTGTGTGTGTGTGATGAGAGATGTGACGTGGCACAGTCAGATCATGGTTTGCTGTTTTCTTGGAGCACTGCAGCATGTTGCAGTTGGCAGCAGAATTAGGGGAAATACATAGGGAGCATCCTATTGCTCCCAGGCATCACTCCCTGTGTTCTGTGCAGTGGACAAATGATGATTAATGCTTTCATGCTTGCCCCCATGTCAGGAAAARCCATTTGCAGCATTCAGTGTCTTCCTGCTGTCGTGCCATGAAAATGCTGTGAACAGAGAGCCTGGTCCTGTGTGATGCAGAGCAGCTGAGCTTGGCTGGGCTCAGCACCACTTGCAGGTGCCCCAGAAAGCTGTCCAGGGTTGATGTGGCACCTCTGTGTTGGAGATACTGTGCTTTGGACTTTCATCTGACCCTGGTGGAGAGCTKCTGTGCCAAATGGCTGATGTGGTTCAGGGCATTCAAGATTAACTAGTCTGTGCCACCTTCTCATGCGTGACACTGAGCATTGCTGTATCTGTCTGACCTCTTCTTTCTAGTACAGGAATGCTTTTAAGCAGAGAGCTCTAGAGATTGTAGAGCCACACTTCTCAGAGCTGCTTTCTGAGGGCTGGATCTGCATGTGGTGCATGGTTGGGGAGAGCAGAAAGCTTCCATTTACGGTTTGATAATGGCACAGATCACATCTCAAATGCACCAGTGTGAGTAGGGCAAGCAAAGCATTGCAGAAATATTCTCAGCTGTACCTTGAGCACGTTCACTGGCTGCATTATGGTTTGTCTTTATGGATTGTATTGTCTGGGCTCGAGCTGCCTGTGCCCTCAGCTGCAATCCTGTGATTGTTATTGCGTACATATACTGAAAAGGTCAGATTTATTCATCAAAAGGCTATTGTGTGGTGTGTAAGTGGATGGGCCAGCTTCTTTTTCCATCTTATAGGCAGCCTTGACATTGGAAATTAGCATGGGGGCAATCTCAAAAAGAGACTGCTTACAAAATACTGGAGTGTTTTGATCGATGCTGATCAGGCTATTGCAGGCACAAGCTGTTAAAGTAAACGGTGATAGGGAAAACTGAGGGAAGCAAGGTATAGATGTCACAAATCTTTCTTGGAGKATGGCTTTTATCTTTTTAATTACTGTCTGAAAGAGATGGAACATAGGCATGAATTAATTTCTAAAACCTTTGGTGGAAAGTCTCTTTTTAAATTTCTTTTTCCTTCTCTGCAGTTAAGTACTGTCCTTTGCAGAATGGTTATCATACTCGAAATATAAATTTAGCCAACCTTTACTGCATGCTGTGATTGCTGCTGTGTTATCACAGCTTTACAGGTTGGGGTTGCAAGTGATTCAAGTTGTAAGTGACAGCTGCTGGCTGAGCCTCGCTCTTTGTAAATGCTGCTGTCACTGTCTGGGCYGCCAGGCTGAGGTGAACAAAAATCTTTGAGTGTCCAGGATAGCAAGACTCAAATATTACTGCTTGGAGCACATTCAGCCTGTGAAGAAGCAATTCGCAGGCTGCTGATGCCAAGCAATGATGATTTTAGATTTTTCTCCAGAACAGCATGTCCTGTAACTTTGAGTTGTTTAAAAAAAWACTGGCAGAAATTTGTAGACATGCATTAATGCTGACTTACGTATCTGATAGTGGAGAGAACTATTGCTGCAATTGAGGAGAGCAAGTCAGCTTCCACAGGTGACTCCTTAGCCTTTCTCCTTGGTGGTGGTTGTCTTTTTTTCCTCTCCTTGCCCTTCTTTCCTATGCTCAGACATCCTGAATATGTGGATATACCAATTTATRACTCTTTGCTATTGATTATCACGATGAGTAGGTGAGATGTTGAGCTGTCCTCCATCAGCTGGGAGAGGTGGAATTATGACAGTTCATTTGGCAGCCAGAGCTTTCTCTTTGCTGTCCTTTCATCCTGTRCAGTGCATGAATCCACCAGCACTGACTCCCCAGCTCTCTGGTGTTGACTGTAAAGCCCTGATAGACTGGCAGTTTGAAGCACAGCTGTTGAGTTGGTGTTCCTTCAGCTACAAAGCCTGGTAATTCTCCTGGCCTGTCAGTCCACCAACTGGTAGCAATTCTTGAAGTTGGATGWGTTGAGTTCAAAATAGATCCTTCTGTGTGCAAACCAGTGTGTGGGAAATCACAAGATCTTCATGGTCACAATGCAGCTCTCCCTTAAATAGGACAATATTGTTCCCTGTTGCACAATTCCATGCAGTTATACATATTTACATGCTTTAGTCTGTTGCTAATTGTATTAGGAAAAGCTTTGAACATGAGGTCATCAGTCAGTTCMTGCCTTGTATTGGTCAGGTGCTTCTCTTAGAGTGTGTGTGTTGCAGGAGGGTTTGTATCTGCCTCAAGGTGTCTGTAGCTTTCAGTAGTTTCCCTGGAGCACTAAAGGTAAACTGGAAAGAGACTCTTGATCTCAAGATTATAAAAGTAGTTTTACAATAAAATGCTGTGTGTCTTCACTGTAGTTTCTGTWGTGATAACCTAAAGGAATTTATTTGCAGTGCTGCATTTGACCTTTCCTTTGCATAAGAAAAGCTGCTTTGTTTTTGTCAGAGGAGGTGAARCATTTCTTTGGAAGCATTAGCCTTCCTCTCTCTCATCTGAAATACTGTATTTTGCTCTYTTGTGAACCTGCAAGACCTTACATGCAAATATATGCAGCCTTTTATAAATCATTGCAGTGGGTGAGTTCCGTGAGGGGGTGCAGGTGAACTTAAGCTCRATGTATTGCACTTCCACATCTGATAAATCCATTATGAGCACTTGGAGGGAACACCAGTACATATGTGGCAGTATTTTTTAGCTGGCAGCTCGTGTTCATTGGCTCTGAACTGCGTCTCTGTATGCTGTCAACATMTCTTGGACTGTTCGCCTCTCGTGTTGTCACAAAAGCATCAGTGGCCTGTGTTTGTAATCCTGCTGCACGTCTAAAAGCTGCCTCTCAGACCAGAGCTGACAGCTGCTCCATCTGTTGTTGACCTCAGCTCGCTGCCATGAATGCTGTGAGCTGCTCCAGCTGATGTGATCTGTGCAATACTCACAGGTTCGCCTGGGGCCTCGTCTTGCACAGCCCGCGACTCAAACACGTGTTGGGGAAGTGCCTGGGATGATTTCCCATTTCATTGTGAATTGTGGCTGAGCCATGAATGACTGAAGACCCCACTTAGATACCAAAGTGCTTGTGCTGCTGTTCAGCAAGATGGAGTGGTTCCCAGAGCTGTGATTACCTGGAAGTTGCTCAGCTCAATTGAAGTCATGGAGCAGGTCAGGGAAGGCTCTAGAAAAGACAGGAATTTTTTTAGGAAGCAGTATCAGGTGGTGTGGCTGTTCTGGCAGSACTGAGGTGACAGTGTGTAGTTGGCTGTATACAGGTAGAGGAAGGTTCTGCATTGKAGAGTGTAAAAACAATCTCAGTTCCCTTTTAAAGAGTGAATTCCCCCCAGCCTGGGAGTTATCCTGTGTGTGAACRTGCCAGGTTGTCCTCAGGACAAATCCTTCTAGCCTGGGTTTACCTGAGCCCTGGTTTTGATCACTTGCCTACCCTTCAGGAAGGCATCAAAAGAACTGTCCCATGTTAACAATTTTCTGATGGACTTTTGTGTTCTCTTGATAGCTGCCATTAACCTAGCAAAGCTGAAGCTCTTCAGACATTACTATGTCATGGTAAGTAAAACACCTGCACACATGCATGTGGAGCACTTGGAAGGTGTTCCAAGCTTTTGATGGAATACTTGTGGGAAGCTGCTACAACTGGTTGATGTGGTAGAGGCTCTTAGCACTCCTGTGCTTTGGCATCTTGGTCAACTGGCTTACAATCCTAAATGCAAATTCCTTTTTTTTCTCCTACTGGTTGTATCCTTCTGTCTCTTTTAAATTCCAGCTATTTGTAATACTTCCTGATTTCCTCTGGAGACAGCTTGAGCTGCCAGTTGAGTTGATGGGCTCGAATAATGTACTGTAAACTTGCTAAAAATTAAACTTGGGACCAAATGGTGCCTGGAGATGCATGTGTGCAGTTTCTGATTAAGTCAGTGGGAGCCAGGAGTACGTTTCCCAGGAGAACACAGGCTTCTTAATGATTTCCAACGGCCTCATTTCAGCCTCTTCTAAGTGGCAAGAGTAATAAATTACAATTGTGATTCTTGAAATTCTATGAAATCGTAATRCTTAAAGCATTTCCTGCTGTAACTTGAGTATGTTTCCAATAGCTTGAGTTATTTGGATGTTCAACAATCAGKAGAGCCCTCAGCCTGTATCTTCCATGTTTATTTGAGGAACATAATAAGGCCAGTCTGACTTAATGAGTTGTTTAGGAATTGCTTGAGCTATTTCTCTGTGGTACAAAGGTTCTGTGAGGACCATGCTTTTGTTCTCATGCTTTCTCCTTTTCCTTCCCAGATTGTGTGTTACATTTACTTCACACGGATCATTGCAATTCTCATAAAGATTGCTGTTCCATTCCAGTGGAAATGGCTGTACCAGGTATTCACCAGCAAAGGAAAATATATCCATTCCTTGATGGTTGTCCTCTATTATTCTTMAAATATAACTGCACAACAAAATTCCATAAATTGTTCCTCATGTTATAGTAGAACATCTCAAACCACAGTGCTGCACCCTGTCTCTTCTTGATTTTTGTCACTGATGTGCTTAAGGTGAAGGAATATATTCTTTGTTTTATGTTTGTCCAGCAAGGCTGCTGGATTATACATGAGATGTCTGAAAGTAATTGCATTATTGATTTTTAGTCTTTCAATTTAAAAATGTCTGAAGGAAATTAATCAAGAACATRCAAAGGAGAAAAAAATTAGTCAGGTTTGCTCTATGTAATTGAAGCYCCAGGGAGCCAGAGAAATAGGCTTTTGCTCTTCCATCTACAGGCTTTTTTTTGCCTATGGTCTTCTAAATACTTGGTTTCYTAACATATAATGCACATGACTGTTCAAGGAGTCCTTGGAATAYATTAATGGTTGAAATTACCAAGAATGTAGGAATGATTTCCCTCCACCTCATTTAAAAGCCAAGTCTTGCCATAGTTCTTTGAAAGCTCTGGAGTGATGGATAGAACTGTAACAGTATTTAAAGTGACAGAGAAAACTGAAGGAACRAAGTATTTGACAGCCTTTAGCCTGGGATTAATGACAACAGGACAGGAATTATTTTATTTCTGATGTGGCACAGGCCTCTTGGCCATTAACCCTTGAACCTTATGAATGAGGAGAAATGTTTTGTGACCACGGAGCATTGCAGGACTGAACTTCAATCTCGTGTTTTCACTTGCAGCTGCTGGATGAAATGGCCACTCTTGTGTTCTTTGTCCTTACTGGGTACAAGTTCCGTCCAGCATCAGACAACCCCTACYTACAGCTCTCTCAAGATGATGAGGATGACTTGGAGATGGAAGCTGTGTAAGAACCTCTCTCCCCTTTTATTTACCTCTTCACTTGATTGGAGAAAAGTAGTATTTAAAATCCATTTACTTTAATCTYCCTAAATCCTTCTTTGAAAAAGATGAGGGTCTGCCCACGTTGAAAGATGAGGTGTCTGTTTTGGTGTGTGTAAAAGGATTTGTGGTGTGCATAGGAGTCTCTGACCTGGGTATTGCAGTAGTGTAGAATTAGCTCTACTAATGTAAAGCTTTTCATGGGGCAAAAAGATGCCYATGAAAATATCAAGAAAGCTTCTAAGTTTAATTTAGTTCATGGAATGTGGATGAGCTTTACAGATCATCATAAATGCTTCATATTTAAACAAAACCCAAACCAACAACAAAAATGACACACCAATCTGCAGAACATAAATAATAATAATAATAATAATAAATAAATGAACAGGGTATAAGGTCTCTTCTGCCTTGGTATTCAGCATATAGCTTTGCAAAAATTTATCTTAAGCAACACTGGGCCAAGGAGATGGATTTTCATCCGTACTCTTTCCTGGTTTATTTCTTGCTGCTAAACCATGAGGCACCACAAATGCTTCAGGACCTGAACTAGTCTGGAAAAATGACATAGCAGGGCTCAGTCTAAGTCCTGTCATTTTCTTTGCAGTGGTTTTGTGAGGACTTAAAAAATGAGTGGCATTTTTGAGCGTGTAATTAAAAATGCCTTAAGAAATTCAGTCTGCCAGGAGTGTTGGATRCAGCTTTAGGTGCCCCAGAGTCTGCTGCCTTAATAGGAACAGAGCTAACCTWATCCTTTGGTAGTTATATATTTGATGCATAATTGCAATTCATGTACATGCTCAGAAGCTTGTTCCTRAGAGTTTTTTCCAGTTTGGCAAATCTCCTTTACCTGGGTGAAACAAATCAACACTCTGGCTTTTAATAAAGAGGCAAAAAAAGTCCAAATGTGTTTGCTGTCATAGTTGGCTCAGAAAGAAATGAATCTTSTTGGAAATTTGCTGCAAGGAGGTTTGAATCATAGAATCCAGACTGAAATGTCATGTAAGGAGTTTAACTTYTCTGAAATGTGGCTGGTAACAAAGATCTTTTTAAATGCTTAGCTATTTTTGCTTGGGGTCTAGAAAATCTGTCATTTTTGCAAGCAGAATCCAACTAGTGGGTAGTGACCTTAAAATCACTGTCATTTACATGTGTTTGAATGGTTTATGTAAGAAACTGGTCTCAGTTTGGAAGCTGTTTGGTAAGAAAGCATTCACATCAGGAAGTCACTGTCTGAACTGGCAGGATTTGTGATTGTACCAAAACAAGCTTTTTCCCTTTTTGCCTGTTAGAGTGAATTTCAACTTTGCATTACGTACTTAATGAATTTTTGCTTGTGGGGGTTTTGTTAAGACTAATAATAGGACACCTTTCAAATACAGTGATTTCAGTCAATTGAGAAGTTGCTAAATTTAGGAGAATCTGCCAGAAATGAGCTGGAGAAAGTTTAATGAACTAATTCAGTGATTTACATCTCACCCTAGTGAGATAGGCATTGCTAAAAACTCTAGAATCAGAATTCCTTGTGAGCCTTTTCCTAGTAAGGCATTTTGCTCTTTGCCTTGGGAGTTTCCATTGTTGTGTCTTGTGGGTTGTTCCCCTTAGCCTTGCTTGGATTTTTCTGATCTGATTCACCAGAAGTTTTATTCCATTTGGGCACTTGGCAGGGTATAATCTGTGTCTGGTTCTCCCTTCCCCARCTCCATCAGGAAGGTTAAGTTTGTAGCTATTTGAAAAACAGAGTTTATACACATTCTGTGACAGGTGAAGCACTGCAGTGGAAGTGCATTAAATTTCTCATTGATTTGGTCTTGCTGGGCCTATTTTTATGTTTATAAATATTAAATGTTGTTTCTGTTGAGGGGGAAAAAAATCTGAATTTATTTGAGCAGGTGACTGCGTGCCTGATAGCCCTGACTAACCATTGCATGAGTGTTTTGTCTTTCATGTGATAAATACCCATTTGTCTTCACAGGCCATGGCAGAAACTAAAAACCTGCAAACTTCTTCATGTTTTGCTATGTCTTATTGCCAAGTTTTATGATTGTTTTCCTCTCCCGGGGGTTTTTGTTTAAAATCAGGTTCTGTAAAACAGAAGCTTCAGTTTTTTTAGACTCAACATTTCTATGAGCCAGCAGAGGGGAAAGCTGTGAGGTTATCAAACTTCTTTTCTAGGCTTGCTTGTCTTCCATTTAAAAAAAATAGGCCATTTTAAATGCAGCTGTCTAGCTTGTGTTTGTTTTCATGCATTGCAAACAATACAAAGTTTCATCTGGCAGTAAATGTAAATATTGTTAAGGACACTGGAAATCAGCAAAGTTTCAAGAAAAATCTGCAAATTAGGTGTCTGTGACAGAAGCAACATAAGGCACAAATCCTCTCTGTAAATTCTTGTAACTCTCAAAAATAAAATACAAATCAAGAGCAGCAAAGGTAACTCTGGCTTGGAGAAAGAATCCACAGACATTGCAGGAATCTSTTCAGTTATTCCAGACTCCACAGAAGTTGTCCTGGCAGGGAGGAGAGTGTGACTAAAGCTGAGCTAAGGACCTGTCTGTCCTTTTTCAAGCAGGTTCAATAGCCATTCATCATCAGCAAAGTGGCTTTCTGTGTATTCTGTGCTGGGCAGCCTCTTGAGTTCTGTCAGTTCGTGGGCTCGTTGCTGACAGTTTGTTAGATTAAGGCTCCCTGCTTGAAAAGGTGCAGCCACACTTGGCAGAAAGAGCTGTCAGGCTTCCAGTCCTAATGCCATTTCTGGGGCATGAACACAAAAATATAAACAGTACAGTGGATGAGGTGGAGGTGAGGAAGGGTAAAGGAAAATTTTTGGTGTTGGGGTTTTTAAAAAATTTCAGTAAGCTGGCTTTAGATGCTGGATATTCAAGTGCTCTTTTACAGGTCTTGGTTGARAATGATGTTCATGCATCATGTGAGGTTAAGATATTTCCACTGGAGGAGAAATTGCAGGATAAGAAACCATTAATGGCTTTGTCCTCAAGTGGGTAAATCTGTCTTACTCAGTGTGGGGACACTTTGCTTCTCCTTAACACCCAAAACAGCCTCAACACAGGGAACTGTTGTGGTAACACTGTTCTTTGCTTATGCCTTGAGATCTGGAGTTTCTCACTGTGTCATGAGACAGCTTATTCTGTGCTAAGGTTTGACGTCCTGCTTGGTTGCTTTTCTCTGCTTTCTCTCAGGTTGTGCTTCATGGCAGGCTGRTTCATGGTGCTCTTCATTAGCAGTGATTTTCTTCACCTAACACATTTTTCCCTTGCAGAGATCAGCTTTTTTGCTCCATGGCTGATGAGTTTTCACTCCATTTTGCAATAGCTTGTAAGGGCTGGCTGCTGCCAMTATTGCAGTGTTTCTTGTTGGACTRTAAAACAAATAARTAGGAGAAAAGAYAGCTGAGATATCYMCMRCTSTSSASAGYKGKRGRTGCTTCTGAATGTTTAGCCATTCCTTGATACCTTGGATACAAAGCAGGAGGAAAATAAACCCCATGAAATATCTGCAGCACGTACCACTGTGTGATGGAGTGTTTGGGGAACTCCTTCTYTGCCTCATTTGTGATGGATATCCCTCTGGCAGGCACAGAAATGCTCTCTGGAGAGGGARTTTAGTGAGAAGGATTTGTTGCATTTTAACTGCTGCTGATTTGTGGGCTGGAAATGCAGTTCAGCTGACTGCAGGTGAGGAACATTTCCCTGCCGTATTGCAGGTCAGAGCTGAAGTGCTGAGACTGTTCTGAGGGCAATAATGAGGAGTTCAGTGTGCTKGGTCTTAGTGCTGCTACTGTCATTTTATTGGGCACTAAAATGTGGTGGCTGGACTGATTTTGAGAGGGAGAGGAATTGCCTGCTGTGCCTGAGCGATCTGAGAAAAGGAGGGACTTGAGAGCTGCTTCATGCACTTGTCACGAGACAGAACAGTCCTTCAACTCTTCAGATGGGCTTTAACTTTCACTGTGGGAGAATCCACACAGAAATCTCTTGCAGATATTTGCTGTTACTGAGGGGGAACACAGTTAATGGCCTCTCTGCTAGCAAAGGGCATGGCTCRATCTGCCTGCACTTTCTGTGTTAGCTGAATGAACATGGGGAGRAGATCATTCCATCTATTTCTCCATTTCTCATTGCTTCTGTCACCACCTTGGTGTGCAGTGGCTCCATGGTGGCATCAGTGCAGTGCTGGAATCTAGGCTGTGTGCCAGGGGGGATATTCCCAGCTGTGACTCAAGTGTTGGGGCTACTTTGGTGCCATGTGTGTGTCTGCTGCTGCTTTCTGTTGTATGCTCCTTGCTGGTTTGTATWTCATGGCAATCTTCAGCTCCTCCCTGAGGAACAGGTACTTAGCTCCTCATTCTGTAATTATGAAGTTGATTATTTCTGAAGAGTAAACTTGGTAGCTGTCTTGCTGCATCCTCCTGTACTTTTCAGACTATTACTTCAATTTGCCAGAATCTTTCTGCATTCTAGTCCTGTCCTCCAATATGTAGCTCTTAGTGTCTTGTGCAGATTTAATAAGCAAGTTCTCTATTCCATTACCCAGGCAATTACTGAAAATACCGAGTAGAAGTGAACCCAGGACAGGCCTCTCTGGAACCACACTCAATGTTCTTACATTTTTGACAGGAAACCATTAAGTACATCTCAATGCACACTTTTCCAATTAGTTATTTTTGTCTAGCTTATGTTTCCTCAGAATTTTTCCTATATGACRGGGGAAACCTTTGTCAACAGGAAGAACTTAAGAGATCTACATGTCTCTGTACTGATTAGTTTGATCTCTTCTAGGAAATGTTTGTTGTTTACTAATTCCATCTTTTYMCTTTAAGCAACCTGCTTACTTTTCTCTGTACTTTTTGTTTTAGTAGGGAATTAAGTTATTTTATCTGTACTTTTGTGACCCTTTTCTATTAAGCACAAGCTCATTTAGGCCCACTCTAAAGTATCTGAACCACTGATGATCTCAGTATGGCCACTGCAGGAATATCACTGAACACAGCAGGCTGAGTAAATAATTTTTACAGTACATGAACAGAAGCTGGGATCTAAGGTGGAACTAAGGGAAGAAGAGTGTTATCTGAAAATGACTTCTCCTCTTGGGGTGATGCTGTGGAGGTGTTGTTAGCAGCTCTGATCAAATAAAGCACTCTGACATGGTAAACAGCAGGTGAAAGCACTCCCAGACCAACAGGGGCAGCTTTGAACAGGACAGGTCTGTGTGTGCTTCCAGGCATCCCTTGGGAATGCATTGAGCTATTGGCACTCCTACCTTCAGCATCCAGAATAACCTTTGTAGCATGTTTGTGGGGGGAACAATACCTGCATGGAATGAGAATCACACTGTGCAAAAGAATAARGGAAATGTGTTGTGCATCCAAATTGCCTGTTTAGTATAGCAGCAGAGGAAAGCTGCTGAGCTGAAGAGCTGTTGGAAAGCCAAGGCAGTTCTAAGAGGAATGGTGCTGCTCTGCCTGGATAAACAGTTCAGTCTGCCTAATGTGTGAAGGGTGTTGTGAGGCTTGGATGATATAAAAAGGATAACTTCTCACTTCTCTTTAGTAGCTCATTTTGCTATTAAGAGGAGCTGGTGTGCATGAAGCTAGTAAGGTTCATTTAGGGTGCTGTCCACTATGTGTATGTTTGTGTRATACATTTACCTGTTAAAATGCAGAAGAGTCAGAAATAATGGTGATCAGCTGTAYWGCAAAATGGGTTTCTTAAGCAAACTGCTCAAATTTAACAAATAAACACCTGGTTTAGCTATTTAACCATCCCTGTTATCTTTTTTGAAATCTGAGCCAATATTCCTTGCTGCTTTAGTTTAATGATAGATGCAAAGGGCCTTGAGGTGCTCAGGAACAGTGGCTCCCAGCACCCATCTGTGCTGTGTCCAAGGTGATACAAGAGACCAGTCRTGAAAACTGCTCAGTGTGGGTAAAGAGATGTGAAAGTGTTGTTTGATAGKCACAGGAAGATGGGTGTGAGCTGCTGCTGAAGTGGATTTTACTGTTCAAGGTCGGATGTCTGATGCTTCTCCCTTCTCTTCCAGGGTGACGACTTCTGGAGTAATGGAGGGCATGAAGAAGGTCAAGAAAGTGGTGAATGGTTCAGCAGAGCCTCAGGGCGAATGGGAAAGCACAGCATGATGGACTGGATTAAGGCAGCACTTTCAGAGAAACTTTTTTAATTTATTAATATTACTCTCAGTGGAAAGGAGGGAGCAACTTGCACTCTCCACCACTGAAACTGCAGAGTGGGGTGTGTCTAGGGGGAGCAAAGCAGTGCAGAAATATAACTACTCCTTTGATCATAAGAAAATGGGATCTCCTGGTACCTGCAAGGAGTGTGAAGCTTTCCTAGGGATTTTGGGTAGCTTATTTTTTTTTYCCCCCTTTCTGGATCGGTTCTTTATTCTGAATTGTTGCGTTCTTCAGAATGTGTAATACTGATGTGAAGAGGGATCTTCAGTGTGTATGTAAAGAATATATTTTATATAATGCTCATACATATATACACACACACTTGCTATGTAACATGTATGCTGGGACTTGCAAAGCCTGTCAGAAGGTGGGAAAAGAAGATAAAGACATGTAAGTATTTTCTTTCTTTTTATAAACACTCCTTTTGGCTTGGACAAAACATTGTGAAACAAATGGATAGGAATAACTGCAATTATTTGAGAGACTGAACGGGTATTGGATCAGATGACTTCTGCCACTGCTGATAGCAGTGGGAAWGGTGATAAGTATCTTCTTGTCTTATCCCTGCAGGTGTCCACCTGAATGTGTCAGGTTTTCAGGTGTGTTGCTATACAGGAAAYGAGTGACTGTTCTCCATTAAAGCACTAAGCCCATGGTGCAAAAAGCATCTATGTACCTTCTCTGCTGTTCATGGAGTTGCTCTTGACTCACCCCCACCTGAAAAGAAGTACAGAAGATGTGTAAGACTGATGCTTGCTTTTTAGGGGGCTGCCTAAATGTTTACTTTCAAGCTGTGACCCAGAGCACTATATTTACTTGATAAAATATTTTCAAGGTATTTCAAAAGCCACTCCTTTCTGGCACAGTATAAATAGTACCAGACACTCCAGTGGAAATCTGTCTMGCCATTTTACTGCAGCATAAATCTCTGGTTCACAGTTACCCTGAGTTACTGGGCCTCTCTGGATGTCTACTTGTACCTCTCTGACTGTGTAGGATTAATGAAACTGCTGTTTGAGATGAGCTGAACTGGTCAAAGTGCTATTGCCACCAAGAACAGGCAACTGTAGCTCCTGGTCCTAAATGATTTTTTTTTTTTTTCAGGAGACAAGAAGATTATGATGAGAATCTTGATGCAGGGGAATATGGAATCCTTGACTGTTAGCTGCAGACTCGCAGACACATTCTAAAATGCCACGTGTGTTTTCTCTGTAGTTCCTGGGATTGTCAGTAGGGCAGTTGGTGTTCAGAGCTGTAGCAGTGAGAACGGATGTTAATTTGGGGGAGGATGGAAGTGGCTCACTGGTGAAATGAGGATTAGCTTTAACAAAAGTAAATCAAGTGTAAGTCACTGACCCACTGAAGCCTTAATATTCATGCAGAGACATTGGCATGTGGTGCTGTTGAGCCAAGTGCTTCTGCYAGGGTGTCAGGGAAGGGCATCATCAAAGCTCTGGATGTGCCAGCATCGCTTACAGACTCATTCAGGAGCTGGTTTTTTTGGAGAGACTACATCTCTGGGGCACAGCTGATGGGAGGACTATTAGCCACCAGGTTATTTCGTTCTTCAAGCTGAGAAGGAGGATTTCCTCTMGAATATTGGACCACTTCCTCACTCCTGAGCAGGGACTGTGGAGTTCTTGGTGAGCTGTCTGTACCAAGACTCACTGTTTGAGGAGCAGCATCACTTTCCCCTTTCCYCCAGTGCCACTTCTTTTCCCAGGTGTTGCTTCCATGCACCATGGGAATGGTAGRAACAAATCTACCTGCTTTGATACCTGGAACTGCTTTCTCATCAGATAAAGCACAGGAAAAGCATTTGTCTCTGGCTACAGAGTGCTCTTYTGTTTTCCTCCTCAGCTGTAATTTCACAGTAATCACAGCAATGATAGTTTGACTTTGCTGCAGCTGCCTTGCAGTGAGACAGTTTTAGTGGGAAGRGATCCTGTACCACAGGAAAGGCTGCTTGGTGACCTGTGGACCTTTTCTGAGAAGAAATCTTCCACTTATTTATCTGAGGTATCAGAAATTGGACCATGAGCAAACGCAGGCAGTCCCAGCTCATCATACACTTAAATGCAATACCTGAGAAACTCATCCTCTTYCTCTGCAGTCCCTTTGGAAGTGTCACTGCATCCGAAGGGCTGCTCAAACAGGCTGTAAAGCTTGTGCAGAGAAGCCCACTGAAGACTTGAAGTGTGTTGGCACTAAGGTATGTAAGGGATGAGGATGTGCCGTCAGGAACAAAGTGCATCTGGGCTATTCTAGAACCCATTAATTCCTTTTGTGAATGAGATGTGAAATTGTCATGGGTGTGGCATTTCACCCAAAACCGTGAGTGCTGAGCTGGTTCCAARCAGCTGCCTGTTCCATACCTCAGCGTCAGTGGAGCTGACAATTTGGCAACTGCTGTTACCTTAGCCTCAGGTTTCTCTCTTTTTTTTTAATACACACTTTTTTTTTGTTAAACTTGCATATGGTGTGGGTTTATCTGCCAAGTCCCTGGCTCACCAGTCAAAGGCCAAAAAATGGGTCATTTCTTTTTGTCCTGGCACAAAAAGCCACAGCAGTGTTCTGGAAGTATTTTTTTACAAGACATTTTTCCAAGTTCAGCCCTGAGCCTCAGCAGTTAGCTCTACAAACAGCTTCAGCTGGTGCTTTACACAGGATGCCAAGCAGCAGGAGATGGTCAGGCCTGAACATTAGGAAGGAAAATTAAGTCATGTACAAGTCAAAACCCAAAAGATCTTAGTGCATTCATTTCCAAAGTGAATTTTCTCTGGTGCAATTTTTTGGAGCAGGACAAAAAGTGTCTATGATGGACATGATGGATGGGACAGCAGCTGGGATGCTGGAGGGTGGAGAGGATGGCTGCAGTGGTGCTTCTGTCCATCACAGTGAGTGCTGCACTGCARGGCATCAGAGACAGGGCTGCTCCCTAACCCACAGCTGCATGACTGGCATTGCACAGCTCCAGGGCTGGTGGAGTGCAGCAGCTTGGAGCTTCCCAGGCAGGATAATCAGTGCTTGCCTTTCACGTGCTGACAGCTCCTTATCTGGTAGGAAGCTCTGCCTGTCACAGGGAGGGAGGGGAGAGGAGCTGATGGGGATTACAGATCATTTAGGATCTGCAGCCTTGCTTTCCTGTTTCTGCCTGAGCTGAAGCAATCCCGACAGTCCCCAGCAGCAGAGTGACAGGAGTCCTGGAACAGCAGGTCTGGTGCAATGGGAATAAAGGCTTTGAATGCTTTCCCATATGTTACTGCAGTGGAGCAGTCAGTCCCCTCTGCAGACAAAAATTAGATTGGTTCAGTCTTCGCTTGCAATGCAGGTTATGCCCCAATAAATCCCTGTGATGCTGACATGCACATGCCCCTGCTGCACTCCTCCTTCCTGCTGTAGCTCTCAGCAGGCTCTTTTCCATAGGAAGCCTCCTTGCAGTGCAACTGCCAGACTCTTGCATTCTTCAGGCTGGAAAATGTTTTCCTTGATGGTTCATCAAGAGACATACTAARAGAAAGCAAGACATAATGGGGTCATCTGGAACAGTGCTGCTGCCTGCTCGGAGTKGAGCAGCTTGAGTTGAAGAATCCACATGCTGTCCTGTTAAGATGCTCTTTCATGTTGTCGTCTAACTCGGTGTGTCGTGATCTGTGCAGTGCATTGTTGGTGTTTCCCTCCAGCTGAGTGCCCCRTTCCTGGATTTCCATGCTGGCATAGCATACCCTGGGAGAGCATGTTGTAAAAATTTGCTGCATTGCAGCATTTTGTCTTGGAGCTTGTAGTGTGGAAGATGTGTTTTTTTTCTAAGCTAAGTGGACTCTCTCTAGCATGAGTGTGCATCCACCATCTATCCTTGAGCAGTGTAACATTCCTTCTGGCCATGRAAGGGCATGTCCTGATCACTCCAGTGTGCACATCTGGTGAAGTCCCRTGGAAGATTTTTAGTGTTAAGTCTTTTTTTTTCCTTACTGTGTGTTCCTCTTAGGGAAAAGCAGTCGAGCCACTGACAATCAAAATKATGAGAAGGGAGGGGATTTTGCTGTTTATTTGAACACTGCCCAGTTTCAAGCAGATATTGGGTATTGTAGGCTCTGTTGAGCTCTGAGAACTGGAGTTCCTTATCTGTTAAGGAGAGGGAAGGAAATCCTTCTTCCTTCAGCCTGCCTGGTTTGTCTCCTTCAATTTGACCTGTCATGCAGRCTGCTGTCACTTTAAAGCAGATTTTTTATAGATCTGTGTTATGATCTCTGCTTCACTCATAGAGCATGTCCCCRTTTTTCACCTGTGTACAAAGAGTGAGGAGCTGTGGTCTGCAGGAGTGGGAGGTACAGTGAGGTTTGAACATAGTGGGACTCACTCTGAAATTGTGACCTTGTTTGTAGCATCAGTAGCCTCAATGTTTCATGAAAGCTGRAGTGGTGCTGCCCAGAGGCACTTGACCAATGTTTCTGTGTGTTCTGTGGCGTTAATTTGCTGTAAGATATTGTTCTAAATTGAATTAATTTG